TTTGTTCCAGTTTTACAGACGAATTGTGGAGATACAGGCTGACTGAAGATCATCAACCCTTACCAAACCAGGTAAAATTTATTGATTCTAGACTATCAAAGGGAAACCAGGGGTCACACAATATGGCTCGCTGCTCTCTCTATGACCTCCCAAGCTTTTTGACGTAGTTATTTAAAAGTTATGATGCCAATACACTATGCCAGGCATGAAGGAAAATAAACAACTGTATAAAACCTGGTTTCTACAGCTGAGGAGGTTATAATTCAATATCTGCATATGTATATGATAATATTGTACATTAGTAAGTTTGAATATTGACTCTACCACTTATTAAGCTTAGGAATTTGGAGTAATTATTGAACTTTTCTGATTTTTAAGTCAAGCTTTCAGGGTTGTTGTTGGAACTGAAGACAACATATATTAATAGCCTAGTACCTATAAACCCTCAATAAATGGTAGCTATTGTTTTGTGCTCATATGCATAAATTATTCTGTTTTACTTTCTTCAGATAAAGAAAACAATTTAATAGTTAGAACAGATCTATCAGTTAACTATTAGTATTTTAATAATTATACCTTAGGATTTTAGAGAAATACCACCTATTCCAAGTTGGCTTCTATATAAATATGTTCTATAGATAAAGCTTGGTGTGCAAAGAGAATAATATTGTAGAATCTCATGTTAAGATAAATAAATGAGCTGGAAAAAAGGTTAAATGAATTATCCTTTAATGAATTATCATAGAAAATATTTAAAACTAGGAGAGAAATAAAAGAATGCAAAGAAATAAAGACTAACTCAAAACATAAAATAATTTTCTCCTGGGAGATACGTCAGCTGACTTTCCTAAAGAAGGTGACTCTAAACAATGAAATAAATCTCTGAAAGAGAGAGAAAATTAAAAGAAAACTAAGATTAATGCCAATATCTCTTAAACAAAACAATCTACATGAATTGAACCTTAGAAAGACTGGAGAAAAAAAAAACAATCACAGTAAAACTAGAACTCTTACCTCACATTTTGTTTTGTTTTTCCATCACCCCACACACTTACTAATTAGTAGCACAGATTCTCAAGTTGTAATGCCTAAGTTCAAATCCGAGCTCTGGCACTGCAGCACATTTTGACAAGATATATCAAGAGTAGAATAATATTAGTACCTATCTTATCGCATTGTTGTGACAATTTAAAGAGTTATGCACAAAGTTCTTAGAACATTGCCTGTATATAGTAAGTCCTAAACAGATATTATCAGATGCAGGTGCATCATCAGCATCACAATCATTACTACAATTATTATTATAAATATAGTGAGCATAATTCTGAGAAGCATCTTAAAGCTATTTCATAGAGCCTAGAAGAAATGATTCTTTTGCACCATGATTAACTTGATTGTGATTAGTTAATTTGCTTGGTGAGAATACTGTGCCAATTTGTTCAGAGTCAAAGGTTTGATTCTCCCCTGGGTCTGCTGACTATATTACATATCCACAGATTTATCCTAATATTGACCAACTTATTCTATAAATTCTGGTTTTAACAAAGTGACTAGTGAGAAAATTGAGCAGTCTAAATTCATAAATAATATTAGACAAACAAATCTGTAAATACATCCCTATTGATCTCAGATTAGTCATATTGTCTTAATATATTATAAATTCTAGTACTAGAAAAAGGTGTAAAGATAACCTGGAGCCAAACATTTTATTTTTATTTTAAAAAATAGGCTCCAAGACAAAAAGCTACTAAGTAAAGAAGATAACATAATTGCTTCATGGCATAGCTAGAACTCTTAGCCCATGTTTGTTTTGTTTTGTTTTTTCATTACCCCACATTTATTAAATATATAATATTTTTATTCTCTATGAGAACTTTTTTTAAAAGTCTATTTTTCTATCAGTATAGTTTATTCCATTCTAAGCAACTCATTCTAAGTGATCAAATATGGAGCTTTGAAGGCCTTTGTAATGACTTTGTTATGAAAGAAACAGGGGTCATTTTAAGGCATTAGGCATGTAAGGTAACAAATGACATTACTTGACTTAATTTTTTAGAAGATCATTTTGCCTTCTACGTTAACCTAGATGGCCAAGAGGTCCAATTATGATGTTATCACAACAAGCCAAGTGAAAGATGGTGGTGGCTTGGACCAGGATGGTAGCAGAGGAAGTGGTGACAAGCTGTCCACGTCTGAATATGTGTTTATGGTAGCGCCAAGAAGAGTTCCAGACGTATTGCAGTGAAGTGTGAGAGAAAACAAGAGACATGGAGATCAGGGTGTAAGCCTTCATTTAAAAAGTTCTAATTTTTTTAACCAAGTCTCTCCTGCTGCTATCTCTACCATGATTTATGATCTTCACCTGTATGAAAAGAAGTTCATGACCACCTACACAATGTCCTCTTGTGACTCTGGCAGTAGCCAGAATCATACCATGTGTTATGAAAGAAACAAAACAATGGCTTCTGATTTCAAAAAATGTTCAACATTTGGTAGATAAAATCCCTTAGAAAGGGAAGGAGACATATTTGACAGCATTACTAATATAGCTAGAAGTTGCTGCTTGATGTTAAACTGGTGCCATGCTGGACATGTCTACTGAAATGAGGGAACCAAGTCCACCACATGTGCATTGACATGAGTCAATGAGTCAAACAGCATTTAGGATAGAATCCATCCCCCATAAAGAGAGGGATTCAGCCACCTCAAGGGAAGGCTAATTCTAAGGATGGGATAGTCTCACTACTTGGCTCTGTCCCCAGTTCAGCTCCTTATGAACTCGTATCTGGATGTCAGGGAAGGGAGAGAAAATTATGAACAAAAATATTTAAAAGGCTGCTTTCATCAAACTTCTCTAAAAAATGGAGCCAACACCATCTTGACAGACACTTGTGGAAAGTAGCCCAGAAAAGCAGAAACATTTTTCCTCACTTGGCAAAGAGCATGGTATAGCTTTGGCATCTCAAAGATTCCATGCATCAGTGAGCGTAACTATTAGCACAGGAAGCAGTGCCCTCAGAAGCTCAAGTGTTCATTGCAACAATAACTCCCTAGGATATGTCAGTGGAACCCAGCAGAGGTGGGGCAGATAAGAGGAATAAAAGAGGTAGAGATCACATGTAGCTGACGTCTTCATAGACAAGCACGTAAAGAAACACATGCGAGACTCTCAGAAATACTTGTATGAGCTCAACTGCATTATTAGGAGGTTAAAAAAAAAAGAGCTAAAAAGACTTAGGTTGCCATTATCATTCTGCCCAGTTCATAATGGTGACAGAATATATTTTTCACACTACAATTACACATTGCAGAATTTTGTGTAATTATGTTTCATAATTAGGTAGTCTATATACCCTGAAGCTCACAGGTTTGCCACATCTGTTCAATATCTCTAAAATCCAGGTAGATAGGCTTTTTAAGGATACTATAAAATGAATAAATTTTGCAAAACAGACTATTGTTATTTTGTAAATTATAAACATGAGAATTTTTAAAAAACAAGCAAACTTCATGAAACCAGTCATTTTACAGAAGCAATGGAAAGGGCTGAATATCTATCCACCATCTGTCCCAGTGCATATATTAAGAATATTACTCCACATAACACTTCAACAATATTGCTTGCCTTCTTTCCACTCCTAAAAGAAATAACATTTCTTATTTAAATACTTTTTAGAAGACCTGCTTTTTTAATGAACATTTTATTGGCTTCCAAAAACTGCACCACGTTGAAGAAGCCAAGTTGACTCTGTGTGCCAGTGTGCCAATTTTGCCCACATTAAACAATTATCTTAATCATGAATTACAATTTGACCTTGGCTCCACACCTTCTCATGCTTGGAGAGTATCTCTTTGTTTCTTTCTTTCTTTATATTTCTATCCTACTTACTTTTCAAAAGTCCATGAAGTATCTTATACCTCTAATTCCAGGTGATGGAAAAGTTCGTCTTACTACTATTGCAATCATTATTATAAACACAAAGACAGAAGGGAAAGGTCCAGTGAGCATGTCCACACCAGTATACCCAGCTTCCAAGAGCAGAATATCAGTGGTTGAGGCTCTTCGATAGATGTAATATGATTGTAAGGTATCCGGAAGAAGTGATGGGAAGAGACAAAGAGATTTCGAAGATGAATGTGATAGGGTTGACAATCAGTAAAGATCAGATACACTCAGTAGGTTCCTGGGGAACAAGTTCTTTATGCAATATTAGAAGCTGGTAAATTAAACAAGATACCTGTTAGGTCAAAAGCCCTATGAAAAATCCAGTGATGCTGACCATCTATTGCCAAACAAGTAGACATGATTTAGAAAGAGAACAGAAATTTTGAGACCCACCACCAGCAATTCTAGAAATCTCATCAAAATTAGCCGTCTCATAAATGTGAAAAGAGGTTATATTATCAAATTTCACAGTTCCATTGCTTTTTTTCACTTCTCTTTAGCCAACTCTGTAAATTTCCAACCTTACTACATATTTTTCTTTTTCACTGCTGTTCTCCATCCACTGATATCTCAATAAGATGCTCATGTTTAGGAGGTAGGAAAACATAGGCATTGGCTTGGATGTGGAGAAAGAAGTGAAACAAATAATTCTCCAAATCAAGACATATTCTGCCAAACAGCTTTCCATCATTTTTTATGAAAAAGTCTCAAAATTCTTGTTATCTACTGCTCTGCTCTTGTTTTTCTTTCTTTCTTTTAAATAGTCAAAGTCTTACTCTGTTGCCCAGGCTAGAATGCAGTGGCACCAATTATGACTCACTATAACCTCAATCTCCTGGGGGCTTAACCAGTCCTCCTTCCTCGGCCTTGCTCTGCTCTTTTCTATCAGGAAGATGCCAATATCCACATTATCAGTGAGATCCAGAACTAATGTTGAGCTCAGCACTGCACATCTCTCCCACTTGGGGTTAGGAAGTCCAGCTTTGTAAAAGCAAGCTTATGTATTCCAAAGTGTGAAGGTGTGTGTGTGTGAGAGAGTGAGAGAGAGACTTACCTTCCAATGAGTGAGAACTCGCCCACAACGCCAAGACGCCGCATGGCACTCAGGAGTCCTCGCACGGTCATGCCTTCGCAGAAGCAGACTACCACTCTGGCCTTGGGAAGCCTCTCTCGGAGTTTGCGTAAGAGTCGGTCAAAGCTCTTCTCCCCAGCATTGCTGTAGATTTTGTCCGAATGGGCGATGCAGAGGCCTTCCTGGGCAGCCAGCTCTTTGAAAGCGTCCATTCCGCTCTCCCCATAATTCCCTGTCCAGAAATAATCAGCAGATATTCAAGACAACTGTGGCAACAACACCACTTACCAAATGGAATAACAACTTGTTAGTCACAGAAATCAAGAGAACGGACTTTCCACAAATTTGTAAATATGACTGAGACTGAAGGAATATCTGGATGGATGAAAGAGTAATCGAATGTAACCAGACAATCAACTCTGTGGAAGTGAGAGACTATCTGAGCTAGGGAACCCATAATGAGACAAGTTTTGTGAAATGAAGGATTGCTGCCCTATTTTACAACCATTATTAATAGTTCTTGTCCCAGATTTTAACTACATGGGAGAAATCAGTGCATTGGACTAGGGAGGTGAAAGGGACACAAAGAGAAGGCCTGTTCATATGAGGACTTGCTTCTGCTGACCGCCAGGTTAAGAGGCAGCCACTCTTAGTAACATAAAGCCCTGCAACATTTCCATGAAGAATGAGCAAACAAAGTAAATGAAACACCTGGCCAGGTCAGAGATCAGCAGACCAGGAAATGCTACAGAGCTTCATCAAAATCTACCACCCTCTGACCAAGTGATGGGGTTATGAGAGGTTTGTGCCTTATATTTTGATTTTTGTTGTATATAATTCTTATAATAAAATACACTTAAAAACTGAAAATTCATAGAAATCAATGAGATAAATATCATACTTTACAAATTCCCTGTCTCTATATTCCACTGATGACTTTAACCCCCATTCTATAAGCCTCTGTGTCCCTATTCCTCTCCCCAAGTTTGGGGACTTTTAGATGCACGTGGATAATACATCTGATACCACGTCCTCATGGTTTCTCAAACTCTCCCCTTCCATTGAAGTTTCCTGCAACCCACACACCTCCAGGGCCACACTTTTGACCTTGTTATCACAGATGTTTCTAATACCTCTGAATGTGGATGCCAAACATCTATCTCTGTTTCCTCATTTTATCATACAAGCTCACATATTCTACTACCCCTGCTGCAGCACTTCTTCAGCCTCATCAAAACTTAAATCCATTAACCTTCCTATTTTGTTCCTCCATCCTCCCTCTCCTTTCCTTCTTAGCCCAGCTTAGATTTCATAGTCTACTTCTTAATTGCTTCTTGCAAATTCCTTAACTTGCTTGTGTTTTCCTGCCGTTAATGCTAGTTAAACCCAACCAGCTGCCTAATCCATGTCTACACCTGAGCACCTAAATATGGCCAAGAAAGACTCAGAACCTTGCTGAATGGTTTTCTTTAAAATTCGTGAGCACACATGCCAAAAGGATATTCAAAAGCACAAGGAAATTATACTACATCACCCTGTAAGAAAATTTATTTCATTAATTATTAAATATAAATATTAAGAAATTATTTCATTAATTATTTAATATAAATATTTCATTAGTTATTTCATCCTTACTCTTCCATCTTCAAATTTCCAAACTACCAAAACCATACTTACTCCCTATTTCAACTCCGTTGTCATTTCATATTTTAATAAGAACAGATGATCAAAACTGTTTGAATAGAGTCAATCAAAAACTAGTTCAGCCTCTCACTACAACATTTATAAACATTTCTTCACAGGCATTTATATTATCTATCATCCTTTCTGTTGTAAATTTGAAGTGTGTCTACTGCAGGCTAGAGCCAACCCCTGCTCGTGGATACTAGATCCCATCACTTTTTGTCTGTTCAAGGAGTTTCTCCTACAGTTGTTCCATCTCTTGGATAATCGATTTCTCCCTCCTATCAATGTTAATCAAAAAGAAAAATATCCCTGGCCTCATTTTCCCTCTTGAGTTACTGATTCATTGCTCCTGTTTACAGCAACAATAGTTGCCTAGGTCAATGTATTTACTTCTTCCATTCTCTCCTTTTTGGCATTTTTTTTCTCTTTTTCTTAGTTGAGATCTAACTGATATACAAAAACTGCACACATTTAATGTATATATCTTGATGAATTTGGACATAGACATACCCATCACCTCAGAATCTTCTCTTGTCAAAATCTTCTCTTGTCAAGGTGAGTAACAATCTCCCTGTTTCCGTGTCTTGTGATATGTTGTCTCATCTTCATCAAGCACCCAGTTACATTCAACAGTTGGTCATACCCTCTGGAAACATTTTATTCTCTTTGTTTCTGCGATACAACCTTCTCCTGTTTTCCTCACTTCACTGGTCACTCCTGAGTAGTTTCTTGGATTTTCCTTCTCTGCTCCAATTGTCATGCCAGGACTCAATCCTAGGAAATTTTGCCTTTTTCATCTATATTCTCACCCTACGTACTCCCACTCTGTCACATGCATTCATATATTATTTGAATACCACTGTTGAATCCCAAATATAGATATTTAGACTGAACTGCCCCTTGGATCAACAGACTGGTTTACTTAATTGCCTACCTGAGGGTATCCATTTATAGACACTTTAAATTTAACATATCTGAAATAGAATTATTTCCTTCTCTACCTTGCAAATTTACTTCTTTTAATACATGATGCCATTACCCACCAAATTGTGCAATAAAGAAAATTTTTAACTATTTTTATTTCCATCTTTTTCTCACATTCCAGAACCATTCCTGTAACCCTATCTCTAACCGTAATCTTTTCTCTTTCCGTTATTTCAGCCTCTGCCACTCTAAACTGTGTCTTAGGTCAGGTTATTTAAAAACAGAGCCTGATATGAAGATTCTTGTTCGAGTAATTTATTGAGGAACAGAAACCAAAGAGAAGCAGGGAAGAACAGTAGGAGAGTGCTAAGCAGAAACATCATTTAAGCTAAAGAACAATGAGAACACATGGACACAGGGAGGGGAGCACTACACACTGGGGTCAGTTGGGGGGAATAGGGGAGGGTTGGTGGGGGGTGGGGAGCTGGGGAGAGATAGCAAGGGGAGAGATGCCAGATGTAGGTGATGGGGAGGAAGGCAGCAAATCACACTGCCACGTGTGTACCTATGAAACAATCTTGCATGTTCTTCACATGTACCCCAAAACCTAAAATGCAATAAAATAAATGGGGAAAAAAAAGAATAGCTTCAGGCTGACAACACAATAAAATCCTAGAGCACATTATACTAGGGAGTTAACCCCACCTCCAGGCAAGGGATCCCCTTGTCAGTCAGTTATTGGCTAAGGTTCACGAGAGGGAAGACAAGGTACAGCCTCCCAGGAAACAGGCAGCTGGGATTGATAGAAGCCTACTTTCTTTCTTTTTTGAGGCTGAGTCTCACTCTGTTGCCTAGCCTGTTGTGCAGTAGCACAATCTCAACTCACTGCAACCTCCACCTCCTGGGTTCAAGCAATTCTCCTGTCTCAGCCTCCAGAGCAGCTGGGATTACATGCATATGCCACCATGCCTGGCTAACTTTTGTATTTTTAGTAGAGACAGTTTCACCATATTGGTCAGGCTGGTTTCGGACTCCTGACCTCAGGTGATCCACCCACCTTGGCCTCTCAAAGGGCTGGGATTACAGCCATGAGCCACCATGTCCAGCCAACAGAAGCCTACTTTCATGGTAGCTAGGAGACTGGGACACCCAGCAGGTAAAGGGAATCTGGGTGGGCCAAGTATAGTATCCTATACACCAAGTAAATATTAGCTCTTACCTAGAAAAGTGCTCTAGGCTCCTGATTTGTCTCCCTGCATCCATTCTTGTTCTCAGTGATTGATTTCACACCTAGCAACCAGAGTAATCTGTTAAGGGGTAAATCAGATTTTGTCACTCCTTTACAGAAAGCTCCACTTGCATTCCAACATGCTTGGAATAAAACAGAAACTCCTTCCCCTGGACTACCAGGCTGTTCAGGGGCTTCTCCATAGAGCTGGAAAAGGTGTGGGAGGAGAAAGTGGAAAGAGATGAGGTTGGAGAAATTGGAAGGCTCACCCCATGAGCCTTTCCTCCTTTTCTGTTAGGGAAATGCCCCAAACTCATGCATGCTATTTCCATCACCTGAAAAGATGCTCTGCTACTGGGTGATCTTATCAGTCATATCATGAAAAAAACATCACCTCCTTTGAAAAGCCTTTCCTGATCAGTTAGCTGAAAGCAACCTCTAAGTAAATCCTGATCATTCCCCATGCTTTTATCTCAAAATAGCCATGGGTCACTTTATCACAGGGATATGTTCTGAGAAATGTGTTGTTAGGCGATTTTGTCATTGTACGAACATTATAGTGTACTTCCACAAACATAGATGGCATAACCTACTATACACCTGTAGTATATCGAATAGCCTATTGCTCCTAGGCTACAAACCCGGACAGCATGTTACTGTACTGAATACTTTAGGCAACTGTAACACAATGGTAAGTATTTGTGTATCTAAACATAGAAAAGGTACAGCAGAATACCATAGTATAATCTTACGGGACCACAATTACATATGCGTGGCCCATTGTTTCCCAACATGTCATTGTGTGGTGCATGACTGCACATATTACTGATTTTTTTGTTTATTTTTCTTTTTTCCCTAGAATGTAAGATTCATAAGAAAATATTCTGTGGCTTTTTCAGTGATGTACTCATGATAGTTCTAGATACTTAAATGCATAGCAAAGATGCATTTGTTGTATCAGCCCAATAGAAAAATGGGCAAAAGTTATAAACAAAAGCAACTTAAACAAAATAAGTAAAAGTGGGTAACAGGCATATGAAACAAATCACTGAACCTTATTTGTTATCCATAGAGTACCTTTAAAGTGTAATATTATTTTTTCACCTATTAGAATACTAGAAGTTCAAAGATTAATGATCTTCAGTGTTGGCAAGGTAAAGTATATACACTGTTGATGAAAGCAGTTTAAACTTTTGGGGCACAATTTGGCAGTAGTTTTCAAAAATTTTTAGGATAAATATCATGTAAATGCAGCCATTATTTAAGAAAATAATTGTAAAAATATGACAGCATTCAGAAAGGACTTGGGACTTAAATGTCAACATCGGTAAAAGTTTCAAGAGCATTGTAATTAAATCTAATAAGACATTCCTATATTTTTTAAAAGAAGCTTT